CCTGCTGACACTGTCTCTCTCTCTCTCTATCTATCTCTCTATCTCTCTATCTCTCTCTCTCTCTCTCTCTCTCTCTCTCCTTCAAAAATAAACATTAAAAAAAAAAAAAGATTTTATTTTTAAGTAATCTCTACCGCCAATGTGGGGCTCAAACTCAACAACCCCAAGATCAGCAGTCACATGCTCTTCCTACTGAGTCAGCTGGGCACCCCTGATTGTTGCCTCTGTGGTGTATTTTTCCTGTGTGCTAAGTTAAGGTAGATAAGCGTCCTTAGATGTATAGAGCTATACTTGTTTCTCATTGATAAACATGCACGTGTCACATACGTACAAACACATTCTCACATACTCACGTAATCTCCACTGTCCACCTTGTGTAGTAGATACTCTTACTGTTGTGTAGAACAAGCTGGAAATGAGATTCAGAGAGTTTAAGGCACATGTTGAAGATTCTACAGCCAAAAAATGCTGAGCCAGAAAGGTGCCTCCAGAAGAGGCCCTCCAGGGCACACTGCGTGTGCTGCCCTGCAGAGCAGAACGGTCAAGGATAGTGTAGGCTGGAATCCTTGTCCCTCATTCTCTAATTTAGTGTATTTCATGCATTTCAATTAAAATTGGAGACAGATTTCTTGGTTTAATTAAAAAAAAAAGTCTCAGGGGTCATCTTACTTTACATTTTCAGGCAATTTCCACCCCTAAAGATTTACAGAAAGGTAGTCTTCTGTTTGTTAAAGTTTGCAAACTGAGGTCTGTAGTCTTCCCTGGTTACTGTACTTTGGCGGTGGTCCGTTTCTTCTTGCTGCTGCTGTCAGCGTCGGCTGCTTATCCTGCCCTGACAATAAATGCTAAGATCAGAGTCCTGGTGCCCAAAAGAGGCTCAGGTGTTCTCACTCAGGTGCTGCGTCGGAGACCTGCTCAGATCTGGTGGGAGGAGATCTGCCGCCAGGAAGCCTGTGTTCTCTTGGCTCTGACTCTGCACTGGGTACGTGTGGCTTTGGAGAGCTGTGTGCTCTCCAACCTCGGAAGCCATTTGTAGTCAGAAGGAGCAAGGCTTCTCTCTCCTGGGGCCAGGCCTGGCCTGCTTAGGGTTCTCAGGGTCACTCCTACCCAAAGGCAGAACAGCCCAGGCATGATGTAGGTGCCTCTGTGTGCCTTGCGCTGGTCCGCGGGGCCTGGCAGGAGTAGAGAGCCTCAGTCCCGCTGCTCCTCCTCTTTATACCTCAGGGATTCGTGGCTGAAAAAGCGAGGAAAAGCAGTTGGGTGCTTGACCAATAACCCTGACCTTTCTCAGGCAGAAAATTGGGAAGTGAAAATACCGAAAGGCCTTTTAATCAATTTTCAACTAAAATAATCTTTTGAATAATCCTGCCTTATTATGTAGTGCTTAATTATTTACAAAATCCTGTCACATACATGATCTTCTCTGCTGCATATAACCCCTCTGTGGACCACTTCTGATCTGATTATGAAGTGGTTGGCTGTTACCTACAGTCGTTAGCTGTTTTTTAATTGGGCAGCATCTGAAGCAATGTCAAAGTTACCAGTATTAGAAAAACCGACCCACGGAATTCGTTACTTCATTCACTCAGACTGAATTCTGTGTTCAGTCACAGAACTGGGAAGTTTCAGAAATGGTTTGACAAGGCCAGCCTGCGCTCGCCCAGGAATGCTGACCACATGATCGTACAAGCCTGATGGGTAGTTTGGAATTTCTTTTGTCAGATTCTGTTCAGTACAACCTCAGCATCTCCTTAAGTTTTAATGAGCAAAGTTACTTCTAAATACAGTTATTCCATTTTATTACACAGAACATAAACATGAAACCCCCGTTGTTACCATTTTGTTTCCATTCATTTTGCTGTCTAAAACTCTGAAAAGTCCACTTCATTTTAAACCGCAGTAACTTACTGTTTTATTAAGAAGTGATTTATGTGATACCACTGTAACAGACATTCTGTTAATGTTTAAATCGTCTTCCTGAAATAAGTAATGGTTCTCTTAATGGTTGAACATTTTAAAATGAACTTTTTAATGTTGTATAGAAGGTGAGATTTTTGTTCATAGAATATTCTGAAGAGAATCAAGAAATGTTACTTTATTACTATAGTATATTGCACATGACTTAAGTCATTTCTTTAACATGGAATGTTGGATTTTATGAGCTTAAAGTCTATCCATCTGAAGAACCTTTAAATTTAATTACAGCTAATGTCAATATTTACTGCTAAATTTTTTCTTACAAGGACAGATTTTTTTATATTTCTAGAAAATTAAAAGATCATGTACTCGATTACCTGTAATTTTACTTTTTCAACAAATGTCACTGTTTCATCGTTCATTGGACAGAAGAGGAGCCCTGTTTTGTTGTTTTTCTTTCTCTCTATAATTGACTAGATTTTCTATTTCATTTGTGCAAGTCATTTTTGTTAATTTTGTTTTTGGCTTAATTTCTTTTAGAAACATGTCATTCAGGTTTATCAAAAGGTAGGATTTATATATACACATTATTTTTCAATCCTTACCCCAAAATGGCTCCTGCAATTAACATCAGGTTTGGCTTTCTAGCCTTGTTTTTGTTTTGTTTTGTTTTGTTTTGTTTTGTTTCTTAAAAACTAAACTTTCTGCTGAGAACTACGTACTTACTTCTTTGCAAGGAGCCTCGGAAAGAAGTAGATTGACTCTGTCAGGCGCCCACATAACAACAGGCCTGTGCATGCTCTGTGCATTGTCTTTCTTTGGTAGAATTATTTAGCATCCAAATAATTCTGTCTTCATACTAATAACACTTAGCATGCTTCTGTTTGAAGAATGCAATGTTCAGTAATATTAATGTACAATTAATGGTTGGCCTCGGCGTGCAGAAGGTAAGTGGTAACTGTTGCCATTTTTTATTTCATGAAGGATTGAATCTGCAGAAGGCTTTAAAATGACCGGGAAATTAGCTAATATTTTTATGGGGGAAACAAGCATAAAATTCAGACCTACAGCCTCATTTAGTTTGAGGTTTTTGGAAACTAAGATGTGGGCAGCTGTAGAGCAGAAATGCTTTAATATTTTCAGAGAGTTGAAGAGTAGTATTCTAAAAGCCACTTTCCACCAACCACTGAAGAAAGTGTGTCTCATTACTTTTACTTAAAGCACTGTAAGAAATCATATTCCTACCAGGTGAATATGTTTTGATGATAACGAATCAGGAGACTAACAACACACACATAATGAGGTAGAAAATCTGCCATTTGGCCTCCATGTGTCCAGAAAGCCAGGCTATGGATTTTTTTCTATGTTGATGAAATCAGTGGGTCACTGAAAGGCTGTGTGAACGTGAGCTCTTTATCAAAAACTGGGAAGAGTGCTTTCCTCCTGTGGGAAATTCCACTCCATGATTTTAATCTTCCCAGCAAATTTTTCCTCGGGCAGAAAATTTTGTAGTTGAATGTAGGATTTAACTGATAGAATTCATTTCCTTTTAGTTAAAAACCATTACACTTTGGGGGAGGTATTAAAAAGTCAGCAGACCTCCAATTCCAGAGCCAGGCAGAGATGCCCGGTGCGCGGTCGGCCTCCCAGCCTGCCTGCCAGCTCGCACAGAGAACAGCGGCCTGGGCCGGTCACCCCTGGGAGACTACGAGCTGAACAAGAGTTGGCTGGTGACCCCAAGTGCTTTGGATTTGTTCATATTATGACGTCTGTGTTTGTATGTGGGTGGTCGTGTATCGGTCTGTAAGATTTCTTTTCTCTTTCCCATTTCTCTGTGCTTCTGCATTCTGTTCGTTGAGGCTTCCAACTGAATATGAGAGGAACGGGAGATATGAGGGCTCAAGGTGAGGGGAATGATTTTTACTTAAACTATTTTATAGGTATTTGCCTCGTGTCTGTGGCAGAGACCATGCTCTTTTCTGACTATCCCGCATCAGATCCCTGCTCTCAATGTAGGGATTGCTTGGCAGAGTCCCGTTGTGTGGTTTGTGAAGCAGGAGCCTGTCGCTGCTGCCACCTCTTAGTGGCCACTTGAGGGCGCCAGAGCACCATGGCTGCCCACTGGTGAAAGCCTTCCAGGTCCAGGCTTTCCACTGGGCTTCCACTGGGCATTTGGGTGCTAAAATATGCCGCCCTCCTGCCTGGGGGCTGATGGCCTGAAGTGAGCTCTGGGAGTCAGTAGGAGCACTCTTGCTGTGTCCATGACTCCTGCACCATCCTGCTCTCAAGGAATGAAAGCAGAATATGGAGTTGAATTTTCATATTTTAAATTAGATGGTTTTTTTGAAGAACAATTGTGTAGTCAGATGTTGTGCTTTCACATTTTGTAGCTCATTTTGTATTTCATTACACAAGTCCGGGGGGTGGGGGAGTTCGCCAGATAGGCCCAGGTAGGCTGCCATGGTTCTGGGTCTTTTCTACTCGGGCTCATTCCATACCAGTCGCCACCATGCTGTTTTGGGTCCCCGTTAACCCATTTGCTCTCTTTCTGCTCTTTCTGAAGCCCAGCTCTGATCATGTGACTTTTCTGAATGAAAAGTTGCAGGGGCCCCATTACCTGACCCACCCTGGGTGGCCTCAGCAGCCCTGGCGTCCCCCACCCTCCCCACCGAGGTTGAGGCAGAGTGCCCGGATGACGGCCTGGCAGCACTCCCACCCCAGGCCTGCCCATCCCAGCCTCAAGCAGGCTCCAGCTGTCCTATTTGCTTCCCGCAAGTACTCAGCGGCTGTTGTGGGGGTGATGCTGTGCCCCCAGTTCCAGTCCATCTGCACACTTGATTATACCCTAAACACATTCTGTGCTTTCCACACCTCCTTGCCTTTGCTTATGATACTCCCTCTGCTCAGCACACCGATCTCTCCTTCCCCACCCCCATTGTATTGGAATTCTGTGGGCTCTTGGTAGCTCTTCCCAGATGCCCCTCCCTCCTGGAACCCATTTCCTCATTTCCCCCGCCCTCCTCCCTTTAGAGGGCCCTACCTGTCTTTTCTGCCCCCGCCCCCGCATGGTGTGCTCATACCTTTCCTGTGCTAGTGCTATTTCCTTAAGTTGCAGTCTTCCCTCCCTCAACCCCAACGCAGCTTGAGAGCTTTTGCTCATTTTTGTAACCTATTTAGTACCTAAAACAGCATTTTATACACAGGAAGCTCCTGATCAACTTTAGTGGGTGTGAACCAAATTGAATATTTTACCAGCAGCCTGGCAGCTCTATCTAAAGTAAAACCTATAACCCCAAACCCTCAGCTTTGATGAATTTGCCGATTTTGCCATTGGATTAAGTGTATTTATCATGCACATGCAGGGTGTTTTTAATACACAAGAGTGTTAGGTGTTCACCTTCCTAATTGAAACATTCAGATGTACACGTGAGAGTGTAAATAACGGGTTTGTGGCAATGATTAAATGCTGGGGAACGGCAGGATAGTAGACACCTGGTCTTGGGGTTCCCAAGAGAATTGTGCCTGGGACCCCGCTATGACATCACCTCTTAGATGTTGGGACCACAGCTTACACTCTGTGCATCGATACAGCTTGCATTCACACCGGTGGTTTCAGTGCTCAGCAGCAGATAAGCTTTAACGTTTCATTTTCCTGTTTCAGTAGTAAGATAATGTCATCTAAGAATTATTTTTAACTGTGACATCAGAATTTTAACAAAATGGAAAAATATCCAGGTGGGCGGAGGGAACTGAGAACAGCCCACCCCACACCCAGCTGTGTACTCAGCATGGGGGGGGGGGGTGCCATTTGCAAGGAAAGTGATTTTGAACCATGTGGAGTCACTGGCTGTCCTGAGGACCATCTCCAGCGAAAGGTCGTGATGAGCTGAATTAAAAGAAAAGTGGTACTACTGGCCTGCCGACCCGTCCTCCCTGAGCTGGGCCTCTGGGGGGCCCTTTTGGCTCCTTGCCACCTGCAGTCAGCCTAGAGGGGAGAGCTGGGCTTTTGGAGAGGCGCTCCGCCATGTAATTTGCTGATCTCCAAGGATTCTGTTTCACAAATTATCTTCTTAATTTTATTAAATATAGATGGCTGATGAAGATTTTCCAGCCAGGTAGAATTTTGCCTGTATGGGTTATGATTTGGAAGGGAGTCCGGGGGTGGGTGGTAGATGAATACTTCTCCGTAAAGGAACAGATAATCAGATGTGAGCCTGTGCAAGAAAAATGTGGAGGTCAGTCATGCTACATCGAAGATGTTGATTATGAGCTAGCTGTAACAGAAAAGGTTGGTTTTTCTGTGCAATTAAAAATAAACCTGCTACTGTGCATTTCAGTCGCAACGTATCTGCTGAGCAAAAGGAGGAAAACAAAGAAGCAAAACCTCGCTCCCTGCGCTTTACCTGGAGCATGAAAACCACTAGTTCCATGGACCCCAGTGACATGATGCGGGAGATCCGCAAAGTGCTGGATGCCAATAACTGCGACTATGAGCAGAGAGAACGCTTCCTACTCTTCTGTGTCCACGGTGATGGGCACGCGGAGAACCTCGTGCAGTGGGAGATGGAGGTGTGCAAGCTGCCAAGACTGTCTCTGAACGGGGTCCGGTTTAAGCGGATATCAGGGACATCCATAGCTTTCAAAAATATTGCTTCCAAAATTGCCAACGAGCTAAAGCTGTAACCCAGTAATTACGGTGTAAATTAAGTAGCAATTTAAAGTGTTTTCCTGAACACTGATGGAAATGTATAGAGTAATATTTAGGTAATAACGTCTGCATCTTCTAAATCATGATATTAAAATATAAGGACGAGAGCACGCCTGGGAGCGGAAGCTGGCCTTTTTTCTACGAATGCACTACATTAAAGATGTGTGACACGCGTGCCCTCTGTCTTATTTCCATTGCCTTGAAAGTCAGCGTGTGACATCATCGCCACGGGCCTCCTGTCTGTGTGGTGTGAGCGTGGACTGTGCGTGTGAAGTAGTGCATACGGAAGCATCTCCTTACACTGGCAGCCAGAGTTGTTACGAGTACCTCTGTGGGAGATCATTTGGTGCTAAAACATTAAAATTGCCAAGGAGGAAAATACTGAATTACTACTAAGAATTAACCTTAACCTTAAGACTAGTTGATAATTAATACAGGTTTACAGTTCATGCCTGTGGTTTTGTGTTTGTTGTTTTGTGTTTTTTTTTTTTAGTGCAAAAGGTTTAAATTTATAGTTGTGAACATTGCTTGTGTTTTTCTAAGTAGATTCACAAGATAATTAAAAATTCACTTTTTCTCAGTAAAGTCTTCCATTGTCTCCTAATGCTGTATTTGACTCAAATTAAGGCAGTGACTAAATGTTTTTGCCTCCGCCACCAACTTGAACAAAAGCAAATGGAAAGTGTATGAAGGCCTGGGGCCACTTTGTCCTTAGCGTGGATCCCAGCATTTTGTGATTACTAGCATCTTTTTTCTCCAAAGGAAATAAAGGGAGAAGTCGGCCCTCCTGGTGACCTGAGGAGGAAGGGAATCAGGAGCCTCGCGAGCCCATGTGGAGAGACGCCAGGTCTTGACGGTTCTGGGTTGGTTCTCCACGACGTATGTAATTCTCCTCTCTTGTTTTTTGATTCAGTACATGAATCAATCCTACAGCTTTTTCCCAGCACCCTGCATGGTTATACAGAGGGAGTAATGAATTCATCAGTTAGTGTGACACTTGAATCTCATGGGGAAACTGCCACATCGATTGGTGTGCTGTTTTGGGTTCTGGGTTTTTTTCTTGTTGGTCAAAGTATGAAAGTCTAGACAGTCACTCGGTCACAGATATTTACTACCACAGGCAGAGCACTGTTTTAGGTGTTTGTGACACATCAGGGAAGAAAACAAAGATCCCTAGAGCCTCTTGAAGCATATGTCCTACTAGGATGGCAGTCAGTAAGCATTAGTAAGTAAAGTAGGAACAAAGTGGTCAATGCCAGGAAAAAAATTGCAGGGCGGGTTGAGGCATTGCTAGGGACCTGAGGTTTGGTTGGTGCCACGTTACATGGGGTGATGGTTGGGGGGTGTGGCTTGGCCTCTCTGGGAGCAAGAAGAAGCCAGGAAAGCTGTTCAGAGGCTGTCGGCAATGATTAGGCAAGAGGTAACTGGCCTAGGGGAGACGGTGGTCAGTTCTGGATTATGTCCTGAAAACAGAGTCAACCCATCTGCTCTTGATTGGATGTGGATGAGTTCTGGCCTGAACAGGAAGGATGGGTTTGCTGTCCATTGGAATTAACCATTCTGTGGTTCATCACCACTGCTGTGGCCGGGAGGGAGAACAGGAGAGCAGTTTTTTTTTTTTTTTAAATTTTTTTTTTTTTTTTTCAACGTTTATTTATTTTTGGGACAGAGAGAGACAGAGCATGAACGGGGGAGGGGCAGAGAGAGAGGGAGACACAGAATCGGAAGCAGGCTCCAGGCTCTGAGCCATCAGCCCAGAGCCTGACGCGGGGCTCGAACTCCCGGACCGCGAGATCGTGACCTGGCTGAAGTCGGACGCTTAACCGACTGCGCCACCCAGGCGCCCCAAGGAGAGCAGTTTTGAATGCCCGGAGTTCGAGGTGCCTTCAAGACACCGTATGGGCACCCGGGACAGACCCCGGGAGAGGCCCCGGGAGCCCTCAGCCTGTGGGTGGGTGGATCCTATTCTGAGCTGGCAGAGCTGGCAGAGAAGCTCCCAGACAAGGGCGAGGCCTGGGAGAAGAGGCGGAGCCGGCAGGGAAGCAGTGAGTTGCGAGGGACCCCGGCAGCCAGGGTGGCGGTTGACCTGACCGTGGAGCTCACACTTACCTTACTAGAACTTTCGAGCCTCCCTTATTCAACCCAGCAAGTCCCCTCTCCCTCCTCTTCTCACCTGAGGCATTTTTGTTCCTTCTCTGGAACCAGCTCTCTTCTGCATCAGGGTGCGAGGTATCCTCTGCGCGGCTACCCTGTGGAAGCTGGCAGAGGTGAAGCAGAGCTCTGCCAAGCCAAGGTGTGGCTGCGGCGTGGTTCCTTCTGACCTTTACGCCTAGGAGACGTTCTAATAGTTTTCCATAGTTTTGTTCTCAAGGACAAATTGAATACTGGAAGTTGGGCTCCTTTGAGAGCAGGTAGCTTCCCCCGCGTCTGATGAAATGGCCACTCTATATGCAGACACAGGTAGGTGCTCATATTGTTTTCAGTTGTTGATTTGTCGTAAGTGGTGTCTGCATTAGTACGTTACTGGTCCGAGGAGAGACGGGTGTTCACCCGCAGAATTCACCTGAGCTGTTCATATTGAAAAGCCACTATCACTGATTGACGTCGGTTTGATTTTAATGGCAACATAGGTAGTGTTACCTTTACTGCAGTTGGAACATGATTCAAGTCGATTATTAAGGGGCCCATGCCCTTCCTTTAGAGAGTACTTTTTTTACAATATGATGTTTTTATTCTGCATACAGTGACTTTTGAAAAGGAATATTCTAGAGTACTTCATAATCACTTCAGACGCAATGACAAGGCCACATTTTTTCCTCATCCGCTCCTCTGGAGTCCTTCAGAGGTGAGGTAAGGTACCTTGTGGGGGCGGTGCTGTTCCTATTTACCTGACGACCAGAGTGCTGTCCTCCCCTAGTACTCCAGTATCGCCAGCTCTCGTCCAGATCAGGCAAATCCGAGGGACCAAGACAGCATTCCTTAATGACATGCCTGGCTCTTGGGCCATCCGTCCATCTCTGAGAGTGAAGAAAGCTGGCAGGAAACATGACTAACTTTGAGAAGCACAACCGTGATCGTTTTCACAGCATGTGTTTCTCCAAAAGCCCAGAGAAGGATGATATTTAAAAGAAAGATCTCCCTGTGTGTGCATTGTGAACACGTCCCTGTCGCTGTGGAGACCGTCCCTAGAATACCCTTTCCTGGCAGTTCCCGCTCTGTGAGTGGTGCACGGTGACCTCCGTGTCCACGGAGCAGGCAAGGCCCTGGGGCAGGGAGGTGTGTCTGCTCAAAACTTTGTTTTTTGTGGGAGTTTTTTGTTCTTTGGGGGGCTTGGGGTTTGGGGTTGTTTTTGCCAGTTTGCCACGAGACCCTTCAGAGAGCTCAGCAAGCACTTTGCATCGGGGAGCGTGGTGGCTTTCGAAGGGAGCAATGGTGAGCGAAGGGTGGTGTGCCTCGCAGGTGTCCCGACACTGCACGCAGGAGTCTAAATGTGACCGTCCCCAAGAGTAGAACCTGGGCATCTTCTCCGGTCAGCAGGGAGGACAGAGTTTAACAGCTTTGCAAATGGGTCTTTGGTTTACCACTTTGAGAGACAGAACCTAGGCAGGGGTGACACTCCCTCAGAGGTAGTGCTCGCCATCGGTGTGGCACCCGAGGGTGGCCACTGGGCGCGATCAGCGTCAAAGCGGCACGTGTGCCTCAGGAGTCCCAAGCTTGAGCGGGACGTCTGGGCCCGGCCCCTCCCCCGGGGAAGGAGACGTTCGGGCGCATGGAGATTGAGGCGGGGGTGGGGGGGTCTGAGACTCAAGGAGGAACCCAGCCCACTAAGGCAGCAGGGTGGACATTGGAGGGAAGACCGTGTGAATCACAGGAATAGCACTCCACCAGGAGGGGAGCCGCTGGCTGTGTGGGATGCTGAGGTCCACACACTGGTTTCTGCAGCAGGGCCTAGATGGTGAAGACCGCTGGAGGCAGTGTGGTTTAGTGGGGGAGGGGTGCGTCCTGATCACCGCAGCCTGGTTTCCAGGCTCGTGACCTCAGGTCGCCTCCTCTATAAAGGCAGCATGGTGGTGATAGTGCCTCACTCTGCATTCTTGGCAGAGTCTACCAGGTGACAAGTGCAGGGTGCCTGGCACAGGCGAGGGAGACGAGGGTTTTCTTGGGCGCCCTTCCGCCCAGCTTAGCCAAGACACCGAAGTCCGTGAACAGCATGCTCTCTGCCCTCCCAGCAGAGACTTGATAAGAAAATTCGCCCAGTTTCTAAAGTGTAGAGTGCTGGCCTCTGAGCTTGCGGTGTCTGGGAAGCTGACCAGCCTGCACTGCCACCTTCTTCGCCCCAAGTTTTGGCCTGTGTCCCCAGGGGACAGGAAGAGCGTGAGTCTGGTGGGAGAGTCTGGTGGAAGGCGGGGGTGGCCGATGGTACCCTCCCCTCCTCGGATTGCTGGTCACCTCTCTTCCAACAGGCCTACCGTTGCCATTACATTTAAGATCTCATTGGCTTAGGGGCCCAGAGTCGTCAGAGCATGGGACTCTTAATCCCCGGGTCATGAGTTCAAGCCTCACGTTGGGCATGGAGCCTTCTTTTTTTTAAACAAATAAAAAATAAAATGACACCCTCCCTCCTGGACTGCTTGCCCAGCTCTGCCCTCCCACTCTCTGCTGCTTCCTGTCTTGCTAAGAGTCAGCATCATGGACAAATGTATTTGTCTCTGTATCTACCCTCCCCACCCATACTTAGAACGAAAGCCGCACGGGGAAGGGCTTTTTCTTCTCTATCTTAGGTACCTAGAATAGTGCCGGGTACTTACTTACAAAGTAAGTATTCATTTAAAATGATGATGACAATGGGGCGCCTGGATGGCTCAGTCGGTGAAGCATCTGACTTCAGCTCAGGTCATGATCTCCCGTTTTGTGGGTTTGAGCCCCATGTCGAGCTCTGTGCTCACAGCTCGGGGCCCAGAGCCTGCTTTGGATTCTGTGTCTCCCCCTCTCTCTGTCCCTCCTCTGCTCATGCTCTGTCTCTCTCTGTCTGTCTGTCTGTCTGTCTGTCTCTCTCTCTCTCTCTCTCTCTCTCTCTGTCAATAATAAATAAACGT